GGGGGAGAGTGTTCCTCCAAACAGGGCGTAGTTTTACATTCAAATTGCCCACACATCCTGCTCCACAGAGAGTAAGTGCCTGCTTAGGATTCATTCACGTCTTCAGTAAGGTCGGACCTTGCCTCTTACACGTGCTGGGAACCATCTGTACCCTGTACAACCGGCCAGGAAATCTACTGTGATCACAGCAGCTTGGCTATAGAAACAGCAGAAACCACTGGCTTCATTTTTAAAACCTAAAACTTTTAGAGTCAAAAAGCAAAGCCAGCCTCTTTGAAATTTTAGTTTCTATGGATACATTTTATTTCACAAAAAAAGGAGTGATGAAGACCTCATCTGGAAGAAAAATATTTTGCTAATAATAGTTTAAAAGTAAATATGTGGAAATTAAAAATGCTATTGTTTCTGTTGATGCACATTTGATACATAAATGGAACTAACCTTATGTGACCTATTAGGTCTAGCTGTCAGCTTAGGCATTTATATCTTATTCAAATTGAAAAGATCCTGGAAATATTTTCTTGCTAACCTTGCTTCTCTCTCTAGTGAGAAAGCCAATTATGTTAAGTACGCTTATGGTCGAGGGGGATGATGACAAGGGTAGCTTTTAAAACACTTAGGCCCTAGTGGACTAGATGTTTCTTTTTATTTCTAAATTAAAAACAAAAATAAGTGAGACAGCACTCTATAAGACTGATACCTAGTCTGCTACTTGCCAACTATGTGACCTTAAACAAATTCTTAAGCTCCCAGAGAAAACACCAAGATAAGAGTCAGTACACATGGCTGTTTTGAGACTCGAACGACAACAATGTACATAAAATAGCTTTCTGTAATTCAGTGATATTATTTTTACCATCTATTATAAAATCACTGCCTGTCCATTTCTGCCTTAAAAGCTTCCAGGATCCCAGTTACCTATAAGTAAATGGAGCATACTTCTCACTCACCAGGATGAGGTTTTGGAGAATCTCCAATGTTCGGGGGAAAACCTTGCACTAAATGCTTCTAATCCCCCACAACACATCGTCCTCAGTTTATGGCAAACCATATTTTTGTTAGAAACCAAGGAATGACGGCTTCTTAATCTGCCATAACCGAGTTATCATAAAGCTGTATATTATCTGTATATATTTGTCTTCTTCATATAGCTTGAATTGATTCTTTCTTCCCTGTCTCCAATGCTCAGTCCAAGTCACTACCAACTTGCATTTCGACAGGTAGAAAAGACTTTGTTGTTGTTGTTGTTTGAGACAGGGGTCTCGCTCTGTCGCCCAGGCTAGAGTGCAGCGGTGTCATCATAGCTCACAGCAACCTCAAACTCCTGGGCTCAAGCGATCCTCCTGCCTCAGCCTCTCAAGTAGCTGGGAATATAGGCGGGCACCACTATGCCTGTCTAATTTTTCTTTTTTTTCAGTAGAGATGGGGTCTTGCTCTTGCTCAGGCTGGTTTTGATCTCCTGACCTCAAGTAATCCTCCTGCCTCAGCCTCCCAGAGTGCTAGGATTACAGGCGTGAGCCACCGAGCCCGGTGAAAAAACTACTTATGAACCGCACGACTTTGACTCTTCCACCAACACTTTGTCCATACTACTGCTCAAGTGATTTCCTCACAAATTTGATTCTTATACTCCTCCAAATTATCACCGGAAAAATCCTATTTTCTCAGTTTTCTTTTTTCATTGCAACCAATTCAAATCCTCCTTTCTAGTCTAGGCAATATGCCAATTCTTCATCAATAATCAGTCTCATTTCTGTATCTTTGCCTTTACTAACGATATCTCTCTTTACCTGAATGTCGTCTCTTCTCCCCTTCACTCTGCAAAATCGTCCCAACTTCTAGGGGCTGCCATTTGCTGACTATTCAATCCATAAAGCTTTTTCTTTTACTAAAATCCTATTGCCCTTATGGTGTTAACCACACTGTTTAGCACATAAGCTGCGTGATGCAGTGTCAAACACAGATAAACAAACAATAACCAGCTTTAGAACAGAAAAGAGCAAGATTCAAATTCTACTGGCATTTCCAGCTGTGTGCCTTTGGGTAAGTTACTTGACCACTCTGAAACTCAGTCACTTCATCAATAAAATGGGTAATGTGTATCTCATAGAACTGTTTTGGTGAAATTATATAACATAGGCAAACTGTAAAATATCTGATGCAATGCCTACTACCTGGTAGTAAACTACTAAAAACTGTTGTATACTACATAATTCTAGTACTATCATATAAACCTGGGTGTGTGGTGCCAGCACATTGAACCATTCATGGTGGTACCTCCTAGTAGGTTAAGTAGACATTATTATTATTGTTTACTTCATGTCTTTGGATCTTTCTTTTCAATTGGATTGTAAGTGTGAGAGGATAGGCATCTTGAAGTAACTGTTACTTAAGCTCCTACTGCCTCCATGAAAGGTACACATTAGAAAATACTTCCCTAATCTTCACTCCATCATACAACAGATTTGCTTTAATAAAATCGAGTTTTTGATCTATGCCATTGAAGACAGCATTAAAAATATGTGCCACACAAAACAAATTTCTTTTTGTTTTATCCTTTCTTTTGCAGAGATCTGTTTATGGGCACCACCCATGACATTTCTTGGTGTTGCCTCTATGAAATCCAGGATGAGAGATTTCTTTTAGAACCCAGCCCAGGAAAAGCTATGCTTCTCTTAAGAAACGTGTGTATTTCATAGGGATACTGACAAACATGTAATAGACTGTTTCCCATTTCATTCTGGCTACCAGCAGGCTGAAGGCCAAATACAGTAAGCAACTTTAGCAACTACATAGAATCTTGAGACCTGCTTTACTGTGTAGTGGACGTTGATAATTTTCCTCCAATATCCATTCTCTCCTTCTTCTTTTTAATAATTTCCCCGAGTTTTAGTCAGGCACATAAATGCCCAGCATGAGACTGCATTTCCCGGGCTCTCTTCTGCTAAAGAGCAGTTGGATGTGAAGAGGAGTGAGGTGTACAACTTCTGAGTCATATTCTCAAAAGGAAGCTTTACTCTCCACTTCCTTTACCCCCTTCTGAGGGCTTGTAACTTAGACAGGTGGGAGTGAGCCAGCTTCGACCTCGAAGAAGACAATATCCCAGAAGAGAAAGCAAAAATATAGAAGGTAGCTGACCCCTGAAACACTGTCAAGCCCCACCTCACTGGACTCCCGTCGGGTGGAACTTCTATGTGTGTGAAAAATAAATGGATCATGTTTAAGACTGTGTTATCCAGGTCCTTTTTAAAGCAGCTGCATCAATTAGCTACCTAGCATACCGTGATCCTAATATTATGATTTTATTTATATAGTTTACTTTTTTCTTTGTGTACTTCTTTAAGTTACTTCCATTATTCTTGTTGTATGAAAAATAGAGAGAAGAAAGTAGGAAGGAAAGCAAAACAAAGGAAGAGAAATGACACGGACACAGTGACCAGTTTGACACCCAGGATCTACCTGAACCCCATCGCGCCTTGTACAGATCCATCTCTGAAGTAGAATGGTTCTCTTTTTCAAAATGTCTTTGAAAAGAGAATAATACTAATTTGCTCTTGTTCCGAGTTTTTAAGTTTTACTTCAAAGCACTGCCATGTCAAATAAAGAAAAGAGACATAAAAGGAGAACTTCCATCCTGCAACTCCAACAAGGCATATTCATGGAATCTTCTTCAACTCAAATAGGTGAACTGAGCTCAGCAGTCTTGGAGAGAGGACTAACAGGTGTGACAGTTAAGCAGTGATCCTGAATATCAGTCTTGCTCGTGTGAATGGACTTTCAAAAAATTACAATAGTAATGTGCACTCAACAAGCCAAACATTATGGGAAGTGCTTAAAGGAAAATGTAGCAGTCCCTCTTCCCTTGTCTCACTCTACTTGAGGTAGCCAATGTTGACTGTCCCTTGGATATTCAAGAACATCCCTATTCTCAGACAGGCATATGTAGGCATATATTGGCTTATTTTCACTTACTGTATCAGGAACATAAAACATATACAGTTAACTCATACTCATATACATTGAGATAAACAATATTCTCTAGTATGGCTGTACCAAATTTTAAGCAACCTGGTTCATTTGGAGGAAAATAATTTAATTAATTAGTCTCCTATTGATACAAATAGAAAAAATTTTAAAAAATTTAAATATAAACCTGTTATAGAATATGTTTTAGAGATCAATTCCCATTAATTCCATCTCTAAAATATATCCTCAAATCCATCTGATTTTCTCTGTCTACTCCATCTTCACTGTAGTCTAAGCTACCATCATTGCTCAACTGGATATTTCGATAGCTGCTACTGGTCTCTGTTTCTTCATTCTTGCCCCTTGCGATCCATGCCTACAAAAGCACTTCCCATGATGCCTCCCTATTTTGATTTCCTCATAACTCCTTTCAATATTTGATATTTCCCCTCTATAGGAATTTATTTACGTCTTTGCTGTCTCTCCCACTCGAATGTGAGCACCACAAGGAGAGAAAATGTCTGTCTCGTTCCCTGCTATATTTCTGGAACCTGGAACAGTGCTTGGCACATAGTGGGTGCCCAATAACTATATTTCAAATGAATGAACCAATCAATCAATTTAGAACAGCCCATGTTCCATGTACTTTCTGACTGAGGGCTTCTGTTCCCTGTGTTGGGAGAAAAAGCAAAGGAAGAGCTATAGCGTAATTTTAAAAGTTGCCTTAGAATTAGGTAGCATGCATTCAAAGCCAAGCTCTATCTTTTTCTAAAAAGTAATGCAATTTTTTAGGCCTCAGTTATTAATACTATATTTTGAAAATGTGGAAGAATAACATAGCTTATAGGCTTACAAAGATCAAATGAGGTAGTGGATGTAAAGGCATTTTTAAAACTCTAAAATGTTATATAAGTGTTATTTTGATAAACTGGTACATAACAAATACGTAAAGAAAATAACAAGAATTGATTTAAATTTGACATTTAAATAATAATTTCAATAATAATTGCATGTAAAATCTATAGAACCTTTACCTTTTTATAACTGGATATTCTCTGACATATGTGTTCAATTCTTTCACTGCAAATGGCACTGAATTTACTCTGAAGGTCAGTAGGAATCACTTCATTTAGAGAATTAAGGCTGGTGCAGTTTTGTACAAAATGATCATCACTTTTGGCCAGGGCTTCAAGAATCTGCAGTGATAAACACACATACCCCCATACACACAAAAACAAAACAAGGAAAAAAATTTCAACATAAAAATTTCATAAGTTAACAATACAGGGCAACTTTCGTCTGCTGTTCTCTTAGTCGCTGCTGGGACCTAACGTTCAGTGAGGCACCGTCAGTGAAGAAATTCCATTTGTTTGTTTGGAATCTCAGGTTTTGCCTTCTGCTGACTATAAATCCCTAAGTACGGAGGTAAGTGGGCTTCAAAGACACCTTGCTGGATAAATCAGTACATTCTGATGGGCAAACACATCTATATTTTAGTCAGCAGTCGCCGAGAACATTTTTTCTCTCAATTCATAACAGAATAAAGAACTAAGGGAAACCAATAGCATCCTTACTTGTTACTGAGAACTCAGCAAGTGCAGAAAGAATGCATTTAACAAATGCTTGCTGAAGGAATGAATAAATGAACAGTTATCTTGGTGAAGTACAAATTAATGTTACATGCAGTGTCTGAGCTCTAGCTGAAAAGCATCAGATAACAGCATCCATATGATATTTTCAATTAGGAAATTCTTTGGACCATTTAAATCAGTTGTAAGGCAGCGTGTGTGTACATGCACGCATCTATGTGTCTGTGCATGTGTATGAACCACAGATTATTGAGAACTTCCAATGACGTGACAATTAATTATGTGGTATATTTATAGGTGGCATTTATGATTGTTCAGAGATCACAAGGATCTATTATACCCTTAACCAATATTAGTATAATATTCTGTGAAACATAAAATGTGCTCCCTTCCCACCTCCACTTCCCTGTTATGCTGAATACGGAGTATGGGATTTTGTTTAATCCCTAGTCTAGAAATTAGAGCTGACTGTATCACTAGCAGTATGACCTTGGCTAGATTTCTTAACTTCTTTGGCTCTCTTTTCTTCATGTGTAAAAAGGAAATGATATTTGCAGTACTAGCTTACACAGTTGTCAAGTATAGAATAATCCATGTAATTTGCAAACTTAAAATAGCTGGAAAACGAGATAAAATAATGATAACAACCTGATCCCAAACTCTTATATGGATCTCATTTATAGTACAATGTAGTTGGGAAGGGATTGCATTTTGAAAATATATATTTTATATCAATAGATACATAGAGTGGTCCAGTATCATCAGAATGATGAGATTTTTTTAAGTTGACTTTCAGAATATAAAACAAAAAAATAGTTATTTTAAAAATAGTTCATTTAGATCTCTATTATTTTCTCCCACTACAATGTTTAAAATGCATGTTATAAATGCTAAATCTATCTCAACTATACATCTATGAAACTAGAATTAAAATGAAGAAATGAAGGTAGGGAAGCTATATCTCATTTTTCTTACTTGCAATGTCTGAATTGTCACAGTATGAGAGCAGTACAGAGTGCTAAAGCCAGGGCCTGTGGAGGACACAGTAGGAGTGTGGCCGACTCCCCTTGCAGGAGGGCACGACACCAAGCAGAGTCACCTCTTTACCATGTGTTTTGTATATCTGGATGGAGACCCCCCTCCCTGCTCGCCCATCTGGCTTCAGTGTAAGGGCCTTATGGTGACGTCCTTCCCAAATGAGAATTACATAAATGTCTAAGGATCTATTCACAAACGGATCTCTGGGCTTCCTGAAAGTTTATGAACTAAACACAACACTTGCAGAATTTGAAACTTTTTATACTGTATTTCACGACTTGAAAATTCGGAGGATTATGTGCATTAAAAAAAGCAGCATCTATCACGAAAACCATCTGAATCATATTCACGATACTGAACTCACAGACGAAGCAAACTTCATAAATGCAGCGAAGCCTTTGCCATATCAGCAAGCACTTAGCTGAGTGACAGCCCCACCTAACTTAACACTGTGCTCCGAAGGACCAGTGAAAGGGAGGCTGCACACATACTGAATAATGGGGCGGGGGATAAAAATAGAAAGAAGTTGAATGAGCTGACAGTGACAACAGGTACAGCTTTTTACATTTTTAAAAGTGAGAGTGTCAGAGAGTTCCAGTTGCTTTATTTAGAACAAAAACCTTGTTTCCCAGGACCGCTCCTACCTTGGCAGTCAGGCTGAAGAAGCCTTTGGGCTCGATCATCTTCTCCACCACATTGCACTTGATGCCAGCCGTGCTGTCGTACTCGTACACGACGCCGTACTCCAGGTGGACGTTGTCCACCGTCAGACTCACGTGCTCCTTCTTCCCGTCAATGATCGCCATGGTGTTGAACTTGTCGATGACCTCTGGAATAAAGACAACTGGCATTCATCACATTCAGGAAGGGTCTATTAATCTCCCCAAATAATTTTGAGTCTCTTTGAATAATTTTTAAAGAGTTATTTAAAGGATGGTTACATCTGATGTGTTAAATGAAGCATCTATTCTGAACATTTTAAAAACCGAGAACATTTTGGGAAAAGCATATGTTCCAGTGATCCAAATCTCGCTGCTCTAACATGACTAGTCTTTGTACATCCACTTTGATCTGTGGGCCATATGTCTACCTATTTATACCAATATAAACACTATACGTACAATTTTGTATTTTTTCATTAAAGATATGCATGACTTAAAGTCGGCGCTTCTAAAACTGCCTCAAATATTGTGTGAATATTTTCTCAAAGCAAGAAAATAACTACAGAGAAGCAGAAAGGGGACACAAGAATCATTCTATTGGCAGGGGGAGGAGGATGCCTGAAGTCTCCCAAACAGCATCTTACAGAGAGAGCTCACTGAGAAAATTTTTCATTGCTCACTATAATAAAATTTCCACTTGGAATGTCTGCCTATAGTTTTTTAGCCTACAGTTAGCTGGTGAAAAAACACGTAAAATCTCAATTAAGAAACTCCTGGGAGACCTAACAGTAAATTTTAAATAAGCAAAACTAGAATATCAGTTTACTTCAAATGAAATCCTAAAATAATGTAAGCAGTAAATATTAAATAAGCAAAAGTAGAGTATTGATTTTCCTTAAAGTAATTAAATCCCAGAATAGCTACAAATCAATTTCCAGAGAATGATCTACCTTTCAATGTGACACCAATTATGATTTATTCCAAATGAGGAATAAAAGGCTCAGGATAACATCATGAGATTTGTCCTGTTTTGAATAAATAATGTCATATCTTATCATAACAACTTTACTGCTCCAATGAGGTTGAGATGTTTCTGACACTGTCCATGGCTTAGGTGGGATCCAACCAAGCAATCTTCCAGGAGTGGAAGGAAAAAGCTTTTCCTAAGTATCCGCCATATAAGCAGTGTGTACAGGTATCGTGCAGTAAGAAATATGTTTGGTGTTTGGCCCCTGTTGCTGACAGAAAGATTCTAAAAGCCTTGCAATTTACTGAGTGATAGCGGTAATAGGGGTGTCTTTTGTAATTCACAACAAGCCCCTTTCAAACATACTTGAGTTGATGCTAATAAAGAGACACATTGAGCACAGACAGCCTCCGGATGTGGCCGTTTGTCAGAGGAACCAACCATGTGATTAGGGGGTTGGAACTTTCAGTCCTACACCTGGACCTCTGGGGAGGAAAGAGGGGCTAGTGATCAAGTTCAATCACCAATGGCCAACGATTTACCCAATCATGTCTGCGAAATGGAACTTCCATAAAAAACCACAAACCACAAACCACAGGGTTCAAAGGACACAGTTCAGAGAGCTTCTGAGTCGGTAAACACACCGAGGTGTCAGGAGGGTGGCACACCCCAACCCTCCGGGGCCAAGCTCCTGCGGTAGGGACCCTTCTGGGCCTCACGCTACGCACCTCTTCCATCTGGCTCTTCATTTGTATCTTTTATAATAAATCAGTGACAGTGAAGTGTCTAAGTTCCCTGAGCCATTCCAGCAAATACTTGAACTCCAGGAAGAGGTGTGGGAACTTCCTAAATTTATAGCTAGTTGTTCAGACATACAAGTGAAAACCGGAGACTTGTGACAGATGTCTGAAATGGGGGCAGTCTTGTGGGGCAGAGTCTTTAACCTCCAGGATCTATGCTAATGGCCTGTGTTAGAATTAAGTTGAATTGTAGGACACCCAGTTGGTGTCAGGAGAGTTGGTGAATTTGTTGGTGTGGGGCAAACACTGCCCCCCACCCCCACGCACAAATATGCCAGAAGGGTCATGAGTGAAAACAGCTCAGAAGAGGGAATTCTCCAGCTGCGCTGGTTTGGAAGAACCTAATAGTATAAGAAGACTGTCCAGAGACTTCCACCACCAATAAGTGGAAATACACCAGGAGAATGTAAGGGAGGATTCAAGGACTTCTGGGGAAAAGTTTTGAAATAATAATTCGAGGTATTTGTCAAATGCAGACCTAACTTGAACTGCCTCAGTCACCCTTGACAAAGAAGCCACCGAATACAGCAGTCTGCTGGTTTGCTCCACCGAGAAGCCAGAAATGATAAGAATCCTTATCAAAAGATCTCTCTCCCTCTGTTCCTCTCCCCTTCTCTCTTTCTCTTTCATGTTTACATTATCAGTTTCCCTTTCCTTGCTGTCAATGTTAAAATACAATAAACATAAACTGAATCAAGAATGTATTTTTAAAAGAAACTTGTAGACCAGAGCTTCTCAGGTTTTACTATGCATACAAACCAGATCTTGTTCAAATAGGGGTTCCAGTTCAGTAGACCTAGGGTGGGGGCCAAGGTCCTGCATTTCTATCCAGCGCCAGGTCATGCTGATCCTGCTGGTCTGTGGGCCACGCTGGAGTAGCAAGTTCTAAACCGCACATAAACTCCACACAAGGAAACACTCTATAGCTTGGCTATGAATCCTCACTTGACCCCTTAACTGGCTTGGGAAAGTCCCTTAACCCGTATAGGCCTCAATTTCTTCTCTCCTGAAAAGAGAATGATGGTGATCATACCTACTTTATGAGATTTTCTGTTTTGATGACTAAACAAGATAATCCATATGAAACACTTCATAAAGTGCCTAACAAACAGATATGGTTATTACATGCTAGCTACTAGCTATCATTACTTATGTCAGCAGTCCCCAACTTTTTTGGCACCAGGATCCAGTTTCATGGAAGACAATTTTTCCACAGATTGGGGGTGAATGGTTTCAGGATGATTCAAGCACATTATATTTATTGTGCGGTCAAACCTCTCTGCTAATGAGAATCTGTATTTGCAGTCATTCACCAGTGCTAGCATCACCACCTCAGCTCCACCTCAGATCATCAAGCATTACATTCCCATAAGGAGCATTCGACCTAGGTCCCTCGCATGCACAGTTTACAGTACGGTTCATGCTCCTATGAGAACATACCGGTGCTGATCTGACAGGAGGCAGAGCTCAGGCGGTGATGCGAGTGACGAGGAGCGGCTGTAAATACAGATGAAGCTTTGCTCGCTGGCCCGCCACTCACCTCCTGCTGTGTGGCTCGGTTCCTAACAGGCCACGGACCAGTACTGGTCCACGGCCCAGGGGTTGGGGACCACAGACTTTGTATTTGTCACGACATCTATTTGGCAATAATGACTTAAGAAAGTGGCTTAAACATATAACACCTTCGATATTCAGAGAAGCCACAGGCACAGTGAAAAAGAATACTACAAGCAGGTGAGGAGGAAAAGAAGGAACAGAAGGAACCTACCTTCTACCTTGCAGTCAAAAGCATCCCCTGCTTCATCTCCAGGGGCCTTGGAGTTAGATTTTTGAAGGTCCTCTTGAGCACTCTCAATGCTGTTATAAACCCATTGTATGGAATCTTGCTGGAAATGAGGAGGAAAAGAGACCTCAGAGGTATTAGCGCTTCCTAAAATACATATCCGTTTCACAAACCTACTTCAGAAGGAGAGTTGACCATCTTATTTATTCCTCTAGTTTGTTTAAAAATAATAAAATTTGAAAGAGAGGGAAAATCAACATCAGAAACTAATAGAAAGTTGATGACAATTATATTGTTTAACAAACTGACTTTTTTAAGCTTAAAGTTTTATCTTCCAAAGATATGTTTCATGGAAATTTTACCTTCCAAAGTTATGTTTCAAAGGCAAATGTTTTTAAATAGGATATATTTCTCAAATGTCTTAACAAATGCCTTAATTACATGTTAAAACAAATGTTAAATGGACAGTTTTCTGATGAATCAATTATATATAATTGTACAAACCATTTAAATGTTCTCTTAATAGTTACATTTATTTTAATGCACTTAATGCTTTTTCAATCAAACGAACATGAAAATGGAAAAACACCTTTTGTCTCATTGGGTTCCCCAGTCATGTAACTATCTTTTAGTTCTTCCATGTCATAAATCATACTACATTTCAATTAAAACTGCAGTTCTAGTCTTACATAGAGAAACAAGAGATATGAAGTGGCTACCAAATAAATGCTTTAAGGGTTGTATTACTTTAAGGTTCATACTTTTTTTCCTAGATAAGATGATAAATCAAATTGAACTGCATTATTGAAGTGTGATATAATATGTATCACCCATTTTTTTCTTGCACCAGTTCTACAATTGTGTTTAATTATTACATTGTTGTAAATCATTAAACTGCTAGTTAATATTTGATCCTCTAAATACGTCTTTGTGCTCTGTTGTGGCTGTCAATGAACCACAGCCCCTGGTATCCCACATTGACCCTGGCCTTGGCCATGTACAAGCACAACCTCAGCAGAGGGTTTATGGCGTATAATATTCCCTCTTGAAATGCAGACACCAGGCAGAAAGGAAAATCCTGCTAGGAACTGGGAAGAAAGGCCATGAAAAGGGCCTCTGGAGGGTGACCTGTCATGCGGAGCCGGAGGCCAGGGGGTTGGGGGTGAGGTTCCCAGTCAGCTTCCCGCAGAATGCAGCCACGACAGTAACTGCACAGGAACCACCCCCAGCCAGCCCACAGAATAGACAGACATAATCAATTACTGTTGTTTTAAGTCACTACATTTTGGAGTGGTCTGTTTCATGGCCATGGATACCTGAGAAAGCATGTTAGTTACTCTGTGGATGTTTCTGTCCACTATTGCTTTTCTTAATCATTTCACTGACCAACATCTGTCCAAGAGGACAGGCAGGAAAAATGAAAGGAATGGAATTCAAATCGCCTTGTCCACTCATTAAAATTCTAATAGAAGGGCAAAGGTTTGATGATTTCAGAAGAGTCTTTATAAAAATTCATTCAATACACAGTTCAACAAATATTTATCAAGTTACTACCAACCAGAGTAACACATGAGTCTGTGTGTAACTTCCAATTTGCTATGCTACTTCTGACCTTATTAGTAAGCAAAATTGATCAGCTACTTTTATGTAGGTTCAGGGTTTGCAGGACATCAGCCCTGGCCTATGAGAAAATGGCCATTCATCTTCCCAGTTTGAACACAAAGTCACATCCCCAAATCCAGAAAAGAATATTTCAATTTGTGTGACAGAAAAAATACAAGGCTTCTCCTTTAAAGTTCCATCTGCATCTACTTGATTAAATTGAGAGAGTTTTCTCTTATAGTCCAATATTCACTTTTTCTTCATGAGATAAAAGCTTTGCTTATGAATTAGGATCCCAATTTTATTTTTCTGTGGCACTTGTGGATCAAAGGATAGTTCTTAAAAATTTTAAATAATGGCAAGTATATTTTGGTATTTTCTTTTAAGAGCTAAATCCAATCACCTAAACAAATCTATCCAAAAGGCAATCACAAACCCTATAAAACCCAAATTTTTACTTTTTCACAGAAGTCTTATAAGAAACAGCATAAGTATTTATAATTCATACATACGGACAAAGACACACAATGACCATTATATATTCTAAAGCAATCATAGGGCTCGAGAAGACAGTCCAAATCTTTGGATTTTAATTTGATGAATTTATATCACAATGAAAATAAAAATACCCTAGAGCACTTTTTAAACAGATGATAATAACTGTAATAATAAAATGTAACCATTTAAACACAGTCAATTATAATGAACTATGTAGATAAAACGATCATTATGAGACTTAGGATGCCATGTTTAAATTCGAACCTAGAATTGGAAACCATGAACATCTCCGGCACCATCCCATGCTGTCCTCTAGGTCTTCCATGCAAGTGTTCAAGCAGGTCGAGATGAGCTGAAGCACAGCTTACCTTCATCGGCCGCCTGTACTTCCTGCAGGCTGTAACGTGCGCAATGACACTGGCATGAGTCTCTTTGCTGACATTGATTCCATTTACTTTGATGATACACTGTCCAGGGTGAAGGCCAGCTGCTGCGGCCACAGTTCCTTTAAATATAAATGGGAAAAATACCAAAACTAACTTCAGAAATAAGATTCATTTTTATAACATATGCAATAAAGGAAGCAATTTTAAAATACAATAAGGATCTAGTTAGTATGATCTTGATAAACTTGGTTCTGATAGCAATGCCCTCTCAACATTTTTCTACTTTTTAACTTGCCTTTCAAACGGTGATTAACAGAATATTTCTTACCTTCCTAATAATTAATTTGAAAGAATATTGCAAAGTGACCTTTCTAATGCTAATCAGTTATTTTCCCTTGCAAATTCTAGTCGATCTAATTTTCTAAATATACATATATAATGGTAAAATGAGAAGACCAGAAACATGCCTTATTTACCTTACTTTACAAAACCTATAAATATTCCAATGGTATTCACCTTTGTTTTTTATTTTTTATTTTTATTTTTTTATATTTTGAGACAGAGTCTCACTCCACTGCCCGGGCTAGAGTGCCGTGGCGTCGGCCTAGCTCACAGAAACCTCAAACTCCTGGGCTGAAGCCATCCTCCTAACTCAGCCTCCCAAGTAGCTGGGACTACAGGCATGCACCACCATGCCTGGCTAATCTTTTCTATATATTTTAGTTGTCCAGTTAATTTCTTTCTATTTTTAGTAGAGACGGGGTCTCGCTCTTGCTCAGGCTGGTCTTGAACTCCTGAGCTCAAACAATCCACCCTCCTCAGCCTCCCGGAGTGCTAGGACTACAGGCGTGAGCCACCGCACCCAGCAACCTTTGTTTTTTTAAAGTCCGCAGTTCATTCTTAAACCTGAAAATTCACATCTTTGGACTTCTGACAAAAATTACAATTATTTGCAATCAAGAAAAATACAAATAGACAACCTTAAAATCATTATACCCTTTGGATAAACTGAAACATGTAGAAAAGTGAGATTTAGGCATCACTCTTGTATCAATTTTTTAACAGTGATAAATATGTCTTAGAATTTTTAAGAGTTTTAAAAAAATATTGTTTACAGAATATACTACCAATGAGTTAATACAGTGAAAAGACGATTAATGAGAAAATTCAGAACAACATGATTATGCATGTTTTAAATATATTGCTGTGCTGTACGGAGCAGCCAAAACATGATGGAACACTGTTTACCCTACAAGCTGCATTTCTTACCTCTTCCTACAGCATGTACGACTGAAGGGCCGAATCCTCGGATCTGGAATCCAAGTCCATCAGCTGAATCTGGGATTTTCACTGTCCTAAAATCAATCAGAAATAAGGTAAGATGAATTTTAAATCCACAATTGGTTAAAACAATAGTTTTCTACACCTTGATGCATCCTCTCAATAACTAGATATTGAGGGTCCGCCATGTGAGAGACACTGGGCCAGAAACCTTTAGGGACAAACAGGGCCGCTACCCTCTCAGAGGCACAGAGCAGGCAGCAATACAGAGCCTCTAAATGGAGCACAGCGGTTCCACAGCACTCCTGCAAAAGGAACAGGCTCTGGGTCAGAGAAACATAGCTTTGAGTCTTCATGTGGTCACTCCATAGTGGGATAACTTGGACAAGCTCCTTAACTTCTCTGATGCAGAAAGTTTCACAGAAACTCCGCAGAAAGAGAGAGCTGTTGAAACTCATTTTGCAGAGTGTCAGTGGGGATTACAAGAAAGACCGTTGGTAAATTGCCCTGCACCGCGCTATCAGCTATGTAAGGTACTTAATAAAACGGAAGATTCTCTCATTAGTTGACTATTACAAAAAAGAAATGAGTGCCCTGTGACATTTCTTTATAACAGTTAATATAAAAGAAACACAAAGCGAATCTATTTCTAGCTGTTGGGAACTTCAGCAAAGAACAACAAAAAAGAATGAGTTTTAAAGAGCAGATCTGTCAATCACTACATCAAAATAATTTAAGAAAATGATTAACTTTGGTGTTTATGTAGTGAAATTTAAAAAAGAATAATAGATCAGAAGGTACACTGGAATAAAAGAAGAAATATTTCCAATGAATCTACATAAAAAAAGAAGATGAAGGGACGGGAAACTTGAGTGAGCTGTCGTGGCGAACCAGCGAGGGGTGTCCAATTTGACACTAATAAATAAGATACTGCACCGAAGGAAGCCAGAAATCAGATAACAACAATGAAAGGCAGAGAGCACAAGATGAGACAGAACATCATAACATAAAAATGAGTATAATAAATCTCAGTGGAGAGTAAAAACAAATGGAATACAATGCAATAAATTTTTGTGAATAGCGCCGATGCCCAAGAAACAAAAGTGTTTCCCAAAAGGTTAATTAATCATGAAATAAATGTCGGCAGCACTTCAAGGGCATGCTAGATGGAGTCTGAGGATAGATGCAGCAGGACCTCCCTGTGGCTTATGAAAGAGCTGTTGGAGACCGTTGGAGCAAGACTGTGGGCCTAGAACACTTGAGAACACCACGGACTGCATTTCGGCCTGAATGCAGAGGTTGCCTTCAAACCTCAAGCATAGCCTAGGCAGCCTTTTGGGGATAGAAATGGAAACTGTCTGTTCTAGGGAAACTCGAAAGTATTATTGTAAATTAGGCGATACATCATGAAGTGGTCTGTATATATGTGGGATAGAGGTCGCAGAATTAACGTATACTTTATCCTTGATTAAACACCTTTTGGTGTACGAGTTGTATCCACTTCCTTTGAACAGCACATAGTTAACAGTGCCTCTCAAAGATACACTTGACAATGAAAGATAACTAAGAAAAAAAGGGAATTAATACATATTCTGGTGATTGTAAAACAAAAACAGAGGCAGTTCATGCCTCTATATATTATGAATGGGAGTTCACTTTTGCTCAAATAACTTAGAGCTTTCAGGTCACAGTGAATTATTGCTGTTTTGGATTATGAGTAATTCGTAGTGGTCTCTCAATTCTTTCTGAGCCAGGTTTTTCTATCCTTCTAATACTGCTATGGAAGGTTGACCCTACTCTAATCTTCAAGAGGATTACTATTTTTTCTTAACAAAAATTGTACAAAACATTATGAGATGCGTTTTGGTCGAAATGTCAAAACTCCCCTAACAAAATGATCTTTGGAGAACACGCTTCCCCGGAGGGAGCACTATATTGTTTATTAAAAGAAGAATTAAATGTATACAAGAAGAAAGCTCTATTTCCTATAGAAAATAAATGTACTAAATTATTTGCTACAAAGCCTTTTAAAAAATCCCTTTATGTTATCAAATATAAAACATAGCTAGAATCAAAAGAAAATTCTTTTGTATTTACCCCTCACATTTGTGCCTTTTTCCCTCAAAACAGGATACTACTTAAATTTTAAGAAGCTATTGTAAGAAAACATGAGAGTGATTTACAGGACTCACACATTAGAATAAGGACATCAAGGAAAGGTTATAAATTTCAAACAAATTAAGAAGAAAAAATGAGTATGCCATTTTTAAAAAAATTTTAAATACAATACAAAATATGCTCTGATGTAATAAAGATACAATGAAACAAAATGAAATGAGAAAACAGATAAGAGCATCATATACAACATCACTAGAATACTTACTATGTGCTGGGCACTTTGCTAAAGTTCTTTACAAACCTAAATTTATTTAATGTTCTTTGTAGCTCCATGTCATAGGCACTCTGATCCCCATTTTATGGATGAGGATGTTGAGGTAACAGTCTCAGCCAGCAAATGGTGGAAGAGAGGCTTGAACCTGGAATCTAGGATTCTAGATACAGTGCAATGAACACTAAGGGAAGAGTCAGAAGGCACAGAGTCCAACTCTGCTCATATAACTCTAGGACTGAGGATTTGAAGTTGATGGCCCCAGTATCTTCCAACTGTTGAAACATCTATGATCATACGGACCGATATTTGTAGATTAAATCAGGGCACCCTAGGGAGGGCCTAAGGATTGCTTTGGAATGCTACTCTCTTACTCCTTTCAAATGTCCTCAGAGCATCAGGAGGTAGGCAACTAGGATGGCCTTATCCTAGGCCGGGTGGGATTAAGGGGGAGGAATAACCATAATTAGCTCTAGAGGGAAGACAATGTTACGGTTCTTTGCTGCCCTCTAGCCCAGTCTTCCTAAATTAATAACTTAAATGAGTCACATTGTTTCAGACCACTTGCTAAGTTGTTAGTAGAAGCTAAAGCACTTTATACGTATTATTTCAATTAATCAACTGGTTAAACAATTTATGGTAAATCTGAAATATTAGACCATCGATGGAAATGATTTGCAGAAGAAAAGGCAATGGCTTGCAAGTATATCCATAATATGTTGTTAATAGAAAAAAGAATGATCACAAAGCAGTGTATAAAGCATGGGCCCACTCTGTGGGTATATGACTGTGTATATGTGTATCAATACTTTAAAAAATCAATTAACACTGATTTTCAAGAAAATATAATAATAATGGTTATTTATGAGTGACATAAGAAAAATATCTTCCCTTAGAAAAATCTATACTAAGTTTTGTATGTTAAACATGAATTTTTTTTTTCATCACGGGTGGATGATAGATACAACTCTTTAAAACAAAACAGACATACCACTAAGTACATGCAACCATGGAGTGTCTTTCAGTCTTGATTCTGTCTCACATGAGCATTTAATTATAAATGGTGTCTAATCAACTAATAATAGTGCCAGAAAGTCTTGTAGCTGAATGTGGAGAATGCAGTTCTTTATTCTCAAGTGTTCAACTAGTTTTCTTCACTCACAGACTCAACCCAACCAGATCAGGAAAACTGAAGCAGCAAAGGAAAAGCATTATTTCTACTGAAACTACCTGATCTGAGTAAAAAGGATTCTATCATCATAAGCAATGTGGTTTCCCCTATCATCCAAAGACCAGTATTAGAGGCTGGTGAAGTACAACTGTTCCAAGCAACAATACACTTAATTCTAAACACTTAGTTAACTTTTCTATTTTACTCGTCTATGTATAATTTTTTTTAAATCCCACATAAATCATACAACTTACTCCCTTGGCTTTGTGCTCACAAGGACTCTTAGAGGCTTTCGGCTGTTTAAGCATGATTTCAGGAAGCAATCCACTTCATTAAAAGGTCTCATAAAAACCAGGTCACCATTAATAGCAAAAATCTTTTTCCCAACTTCCATGCCAGCCATCTAAGAGAGAAATTACAAAAATAATTCAAATTATATTTTAACAAGGAATCTAGTTTTTCAGAAAATTTGAATCTGAAAAGTTTTTAGAGCTTATAGATTTTGACATAGTAACACATTTGCACTATTTTTATACAAACTCATAAAACAACTGTGGATGAGATAACACAGTTACCATTCTTTTTGGCCTAGTTTTAAATTTGATCATAGTTTAACTGAAATTCCGCATGCCCCCTTACTTAACATTGTACTCCTGCTGTAACCATTTTCTTCTACTGTATTTCAAAGTTCTTTTTCTTGTTTCATCCTTTTAATTACACTCAAACCCCAGGTTAATTTTTTTTACTGTGTTTTCCATCTATATCCAATTAACCCAGAAAGTTTCAACCTCTATATATACATCGATGACACCCAAATATGCTTCTCTAGCCTGACACAGCAGAAATGTCTCCAGCGTCTTGGTAGGGGAGGTGCCTGGGATCCAAAGAAGAGAGCTCCAACCAGCACAGAGCAGTCAACAGTGCAAGATGCTGAAAAGAGGACAAGGAAGACATTATGCCTCCATGCCAACTGGGCAGCTCTCTTTAAGCAGTTCTGCTGCCTATAAACTACCTGCTGCTTTGGTTGCCAGCTAAATGCTGAAAACCTGGGAGAGGGTGATTCATCGGTGGCATAGTCAGGTGAAGCTGTGCTCTAAGAACACCCTCTGAGAATGCCTGGGAGAGACATTTCCTTCTCATTGACAATTACTAAAAACTGCTCATTTGTTGGCCAGGTCCACTAACAGAGCATGAGTTGACCAGTTATTTTTCTGAAATTAGTGTGCTTTGTCTTGTAGTTTTAGTAACAGACAGACACCTTAGTCATCAGCGGATACGTGATGGGTGACAGTTTACTACTAACTGTAAACAGATTCAAAGTTAAATGCCATACTTAATTAATACTCGCATTCTTTATTAAAGATGTAAATATTGAGAAGTTTGCCTGAGGATTAAGCATCTTACAAGCCAGGCAGCAAGGTGACATGTTTGGGATTCGTGCTGGAAAGCAGACTCCATGTTCGTCTGCTTTCTTCATTGCTGTATTCCCAGAGTCTAGAACACTGCCTAGCATGTGATTGGTACTAAATAAATATTTCTGGATGAATGAGTGAGTTGCATGATGAGGCGATTCCTTTATTTAAAAGGCTGGCAAAGTGAGAGAGTGCCAATCAGCATTAATCCAACGAGAAAATAAATCAGAGCATGTGCTTTACCGATGGAAGTTATGTCCATATAAAAGACAGTCAAAGATGATAGGAAAATAGAAGGCACACGCCTTGACTGAAAGGAAGAACCATCTGACATGCACAGCACAATCCCACCCTACATAGCCCCATAGGGTTCCAGGAATCTGTGATTAGAGAAGCTCCAGGGACAAAGAATGGGACACTCGGCCTCCTGGGGGGTCAAGGAGTTTACAGCTGTAGATCTAAAACACCACCATCTCCCTGTTCCAATTACCCTTTATTGCCCAGATCTGGGCTCAGCTGCCACAAACCCAAGGGTATTTGGTAGGGCCTCCGAGTAGATTATCCACAAACATTATCTTCAATAAAGATAATTTCAAGGCTGATTACCTGTAAAGGCTAATTTTAATTTGTTCAGAATTTTTATATTTGTATGTCATGACAACAAATTTAAATAAAAATGCTAATTTACATTACCTCAGCATTAGACCCCTTTTCTACCAACTTTATTATTGGAACTTTATTTTTGTCTTCTAGCCCAAAGCCATAGCTGCCTTCATTAGATTTAATCTGAAATGCAAAATATTAACAATATTGATAATGCAACTATGAAAAAGTTATAAATCAAACAGCATGAAGTAATATCCAGTGCCATCAAACATGTTTTCCCAATCTTCTGCTAATGTCTAATCACAAAGAAAACCTACATAACACATTAATAAACTTACCAATAATGATTTGGCAATAAGATTTTCTACAACTTTTAAATCATGTTTCAGAAGTCGATGTTTCATATTTGATCCTTCCATTTCCTCATCCGAAAAAAAACGGAAAAGTAGAGGTTCATCTTTGAATTCACTTTTTTCAAGGACTAAAGAAGCAGAGAGATTCAAATTGTTTCAATTAATCCAAAAATCAAACTCATCTTCCATACCAGAGAAATTTGGTAAATTAATACCTGTCCCTGTGACTTTATACTGCTAGGACAAGTTACATTCACAAGTATCCCTGAGATTTTTTTTCTTTCTTTCTACAATTCAAGCCAATGTTTTCTTTAAATTGCTATTACCCAAAGGATTTTGAATTTTTTAAATAAATAGTATTTTTTCAATGCTAACTTTTTTGTACTTAACGAAGCCTGTCACTTTCCAGATTAAAATTCAAATTTAAATAAAAGATTATAAAGTTTCCAAAAATGCATATAACTCAAAACATATAAACCTATGGTGTTTTCAATTTATAGTAAATATTTTAAGCTTGTTTTTAATATCCTGCACAATTATGGGAAAATTCAAATGGGTAAAGTGTTGCCTTTCTGTGTGTGAGCAATTCCCATTGTGGTCACTTTTGTTCCAACACTTCTTCAAACCAGAAATATGCCTTCTGGGTGAAATGTGATTTTAGTTTCCACGAATTCCTAGTTCTTTTCAGTTTAAAAGCAATACTCTCAAATAACCTCAGTTCAGGAAAGGTCTGTTTTTTCCCCCTTTATCTGAATGTTAATACTTTTCCCCAAAGCCTCTAAGATTCCTGGCATGTACAGGTTTATATTTTGCTAGTCTTTTTAAAAAATAAGGCCAAATACTGATAGGAAGAATTTATATTCAGTGAGATCCTGACAGCTGTCAAAATACTTTAAAAGAGAAATCTTCTCTATTTCTTATTTATCTGTCCTTAGCACCTTAAAGTGCACTTGTTGGCACACGTCGATTTATTGAGCCAGCAACTTAAGGGAAGACAGTGGTCCCAGGGTGCAGTGGAAACAGGCTTTGTGGTGAGACAGGTCTGAGTTCCAGGTCTGGGATCGATTCTGGG